AGGAGCAGTCATCTCATGCAAAGTCTGACCAGACGCTGCAGCTCTACCAGCAGGCCTGTAAAGGTCAGTTTCTCTGTGCTTTATTCACTTATACATGTTGTTTTTTTCTCAAGTTCCCCAAACACATTTACCTTAACGTTTAAGCCGTCCGTCCACTTTCTCCCACTTACCTTTATTGCAACGGCAGCTCTAAGCTCCCCTTTCTCAGCCACCAGCTGTCTTTACCTGTGAAAGGTCCTTCAGTAAAGACGTTGGTGCTCTTCCCATGTACATGTGTCCTGCTCTTAACTTCACACAATATGAACTCTTCAAATATCGCCAAACTGTTGAACAGGAAAAACGTTCACTCAAGCTTTCCCAGTAGTGTTTAACTGGTTTTTATGTTAGTAACCAGCAGAGGTTGCTAACTTGTTCGTCGTGGTGGATGTGAACCTGAACTTTTGCCGCGTGTGTTTTTGGTCGTTCGTAGAGCTGGAGGCCAAGGAGCGGGTGATGGAGGGCATGCGTTTGGCTCTGTCGGAGCAGGAGGATACTCAGGAGCAGATGGAGCAGGTCCTGGAGGAGAAACTTAACCTCAACCAGGAGCTCTCCAGTGGTAAGAAGCAGGAGGTGAAAAGAAGGCAGGTTTTAGTAGTTAGAGGAAGTCAAAGGCTCTCGTACGGACACTGGCTCAGGTTCAGTCTTTTATCCTTTGACACGCTCTAGTTCTAGTTTTCATAGTTTTAATTATACAGTAAATAGAGATGTTCTCTGCCCATTTTCTTTTTTTTTTTACGGTACTTCTTGCATTTCTACTAAATCTATACTCAAAGTTGCATTTAACTTTATAGTTGCATATGCTGTGTCGTCAGTCTTCGTTCTGTGCTGTAAACCTTTACAGAGGTGGACAAATTGAAAGAGATGCTGCAGCAGCAGGGAAGTGGAAACAACACACACCAGCAGCTCGGCAACAGCCAATCAGATGACTTAAAAAGGGCCAAACAGGAAGCAGCTGAAGCTCAGGACAGCGTGAAGGTACAGAAGCAGATTCATTATTAGCATTTGTGTTGATGTCCCAG